AGCTGTAATGATGCAAACATGCGACAATTTTAAGCTATTATACCAAACTACACTACAATGCAGAAAGGATGTAAGAGAATTATGGAATTCTCAATATGTCTGACTCGGGAGATACAATACCTGTCCGGTTCGTCTGGTTGCACCAGCCTCAAATGAACCGTACATACAATATCGTGCCTGAAAAGAAAACAAACTTAACAGGTACAATATGGTTAGCAAAATGCACGACAATGCAGGAATGGTGGCGTACTCGAAATGTGTGACAGCGCAAAGTAAGTTGGGAGCATAACAATGCTGTGGAAATACAAACATGTAAGTGGAGCATGCGGTCTACGCAGTCAACAAAATTGATCATGAACATGCGGTCCACGCATGTAACGAAACTTAATAAGCGGTCTACGCAATTTAAAACATGTGGTCTACGCAGGTATTAGAATTAACAAGCATGCGGTCTACGCAAGCAAAACATGCGGTCTACGCAATCAAAACATGCGGTCTGCGCAGGTAAAACATGCGGTCTACGCAGGTATCGAAATTGGCAAGTATGCGGTCTACGCAAGCAAAACATGCGGTCTACGCAGGTATCGAAATTTAAACATGCGGTCTACGCAATCAAGACATGCGGTCTACGCAAGTAATGAAATTTAACATGCGGTCTACGCAATCAAAACATGCGGTCTACGCAAGTAAAGAATTGACATGCGGTCTACGCAAGGAAAGAATAAACATGCGGTCAACGCAAGTAAAGAATTGACATGCGGTCTACGCAAGGAAAGAACAAACATGCGGTCAACGCAAGTAAAGAATTGACATGCGGTCTACGCAAGGAAAGAATAAACATGCGGTCAACGCAAGTAAAGAATTGACATGCGGTCTACGCAAGTAAAGGGTTAACATGCGGTCTACGCAAGTAAAGAATTAAGATGCGGTCTACGCAAATAAAGGGTTAACATGCGGTCTACGCAAGTAAAGAATTGACATGCGGTCTACGCAAATAAAGGGTTAACATGCGGTCTACGCAAGTAAAGAATTAAGATGCGGTCTACGCAAATAAAGGGTTAACATGCGGTCTACGCAAGTAAAGAATTTCTACGCAATCAAAACATGCGGTCTACGCAGGTAATGGAATTAGCATGCGGTCTACGCAATCAAAACATGCGGTCTACGCAGGTAATGGAATTAGCATGCGGTCTACGCAATCAAAACATGCGGTCTACGCAGGTAATGGAATTAGCATGCGGTCTACGCAATCAAAACATGCGGTCTACGCAGGTAATGGAATTAGCATGCGGTCTACGCAATCAAAACATGCGGTCTACGCAGGTAATGGAATTAGCATGCGGTCTACGCAATCAAAACATGCGGTCTACGCAGGTAATGGAATTAGCATGCGGTCTACGCAATCAAAACATGCGGTCTACGCAGGTAATGGAATTAGCATGCGGTCTACGCAATCAAAACATGCGGTCTACGCAGGTAATGGAATTAGCATGCGGTCTACGCAATCAAAACATGCGGTCTACGCAGGTAATGGAATTAGCATGCGGTCTACGCAATCAAAACATGCGGTCTACGCAGGTAATGGAATTAGCATGCGGTCTACGCAATCAAAACATGCGGTCTACGCAGGTAATGGAATTAGCATGCGGTCTACGCAATCAAAACATGCGGTCTACGCAGGTAATGGAATTAGCATGCGGTCTACGCAATCAAAACATGCGGTCTACGCAGGTAATGGAATTAGCATGCGGTCTACGCAATCAAAACATGCGGTCTACGCAGGTAATGGAATTAGCATACGGTCTACGCAATCAAAACATGCGGTCTACGCAGGTAATGGAATTGAACATGCGGTCTACGCAAGTGATGAAAATAGTAATGCGGTCTACGCAATCAAAACATGCGGTCTATGCAGGTAAGAAATGATTACAAACATGCGGTCTACGCAGGTAATTAATGAACATGCGGTCTACGCAAATAAAGAATTAACATGCGGTCTACGCAAGTAAAGAATGAACATGCGGTCTACGCAAGTAAAGAATTGACATGCGGTCTATGCAAGTAAAGAATTGACATGCGGTCTACGCAAGGAATAAAATGATCACGCGATCTACGCAAGCAATGAATTAATATGCGGTCAACGCAAGTAAAGAATTGACATGCGGTCTACGCAAGTAAAGAGATGATGATTACAAACATGCGGTCTACGCAGGTAATGTAATTAACATGCGGTCTACGCAAGGAAAGAAATGATTACAAACATGCGGTCTACGCAAGTAATGTAATTAACATGCATGACAATGCAAAATGCAATGAGATGCGCAAAACAGCGCGATGTAATGCATCGAAGTAGTGTGATGAACTTGTGCAACACACATGGGGTAACTTTTGAATTCAAAAGGATACAAAAAGGATACACCTTATACGAATTCGAGTGCCACGCACTGGAGACACGGCCCGCGGTCAGAACGGAGGCCGTTTGAATGTCGGAGATGCACTTTCTTGCACTTTCTTGAGCTATGAAGACCACGAACTTCTCATATGGCCTAAACAAGGCTGTGGGAACCCCACCGGCCGAAAGGGGAGGCCACCGGCTGGCCATCGGCACAAAAACAATTCCATCGGCACAAAAAAGTGCCGGCCGGCACAAAACATTGCCGACCGGCAAACAGTTGCTGGTGCGGGGCAGTTTTGTCTTTTCACCTCGGGTGTTATAAAATAGGGCTTCAAGCCCTATTTTCTCATTTCTCCACCGCCGAAAACCTTTGCTCTCTCTCTCTAGAGCTTTTCCCCCTCCTTTTTCGTCCATTTCCTCGCGTTCTACGCTCGTTTCGTCGTCGGATTCGCGGTCGGCGATGCGGGGTCGGTTCCCTGGTGCTGAGGAGACCTCGCGTTTCCGGATTTTGCTTGAGGGCCCGGTCTGTCGGGCTTGGTACCTGGGGGAGTGTTTTCTACGCCAGACCCGCGGGTTTTCCGGCCATTTTCACACCACTCTCTTCATGGCGGACGACATTCCACGTGGCGGGACTCCCCCGGACCACGAGATGGATCCCGGGGTTGAGCTCTTACCACTGAGCGAGCGCCCGTTCGACCCGGCGACCTACCAGCCGGCGATCCATGTTCTGCCCCCCGACGGGCTGCGTCAGTTCCGGAGCTTTGAGAGGTACGCGGTGCCTGAGCTACTGCTGCGTGAGCCTACCTCCCACCTTTCATTCGGCACTTCCGAGGTAACTCTCTTCTTTTTACTTTCTGCAATGTAGGATACAAAACTGCCATAGTTAGCTGCATTCTTTAATTGCTGAAATCTGATATGCCGTAGACCGTAGTTGACTGTAAACATACATGCAACTGATATCTGCTTGAGACTGACACATGCACACACACTGCACTAGCCCTGAATTACTCAAACACACGGCACACACTGCATTCTACTGCACATACACTGGTACCCAGTATTTGTCTGAATCTGTCAAATTTGCACGCATGCTACATCTGTTCTGGAACACCCAAACACGCTGACACAGCACACGTATTTTCTGTAAGCACACCGGCACCCGGTATCTGCCTGAATCTGACAAACTTGCATACATGCCAAATCTGTCTTTTCACAACTGCATGTTGAATATTGTCTTGCAATTGTTATTTTCTGTTTGCAGGAGGGTTCCCATACCATTCGCGGGTATGGGAATACTGGTGCACGGGAGTGGTATGATGAGCTCCCTGATGCGGTCCAGCGCATCGTGGATCGAGCGGGCTTCGGCACCTTCTGCCGAGGGCTCTCTAGGCTCTCCACATGCAGACCTCTCCTTGCTGCTTTGGCGGAGAGGTGGTGGGACACCACCGATTCTTTCCATTTTTCTGCTGCAGGGGACATGACGATGACCCCTTATGACTTCTCGATGCTCACAGGCATCGGGGTAGGGGGGGATCCGATCCCTTTCGACACAGACATGGATGAGTGGACCGCCGCTCAGGTCCATCTACTGGGGGGAGGCCCCACCGCTAGCTCGTCCAGGCTTCGTCCGATACTCCTGGTTCGAGACACAGTTTCGGGTCCAGCCCGTATTGGGGGAGGAGGTGCAGATGACCCCAGAGGACGAGGAGAGGTATGCTCGCGGCTTCCTCATGTTCCTGTTCGGGACTACCATCTTCGCCGACCGGGCGAACACCGTGCCTCTCTGTCTTCTCAGCACACTGGTGGACGTCCGGGACATCTTGCATTACGATTGGGGCGGCGCTGCTCTGGCCACCCTGTACGGATATATGAGCTCAGCTTCTCGTGGCAGCGGCCAGCTGCTTGGAGGTTACTGGCGGGCTTGGGAGGTACATTTCTTCTCCACTTTTTCATTCCTGTCTCGATATTTTCTGTACTCTGTACACTGCACACACTGTAGTCTGCTCTACACTCACTGTATACTGTACACACGACACACATACATTCTGCTTTACACTGACTGTACACTGTTCACACTGTACACTGCACACGATACACGGCTCAAAACACGGCTCTGCTATTTCTGCTTTATTCTGTCGGTCATACTGACATCTGTTTTGCAGTTGTGGGTTTACGCCTACTTTCCTAGGCTTGCACCTGTACCAGTCGCGGAGCCTCCTCCGGCTGTCCCGTTCTCGAGTCACTTCGACGGGGGATGCACCCGGCGACCACGGGAGACATTCGGCTTCTTCCGCCGATATTTCGACACCATCACCCCCACAGAGGTATGTTTTACTTTCAGTTCATTTAGCTTCGCTTTCCCACTGCATGGTTCAACAACAGTAGATAACAAATTGTCTGTTACTTTCAGATCACATGGCGGCCATGGGCTTCGTTGCCGTCGGCGATGCGGGGTCGGTTCCCTAGTGCTGAGGAGACCTCGCGTTTCCGGATCTTGCTAGAGGGCCCGGTCTGTCGGGCTTGGTACCTGGGGGAGCGTTTTCTACGCCAGACCCGCGGGTTACCTGAGGCGATAGTCCGGCTCACCTCTGCAGAGATGAGGGAGACTGAGGGCTTACCACTGAGCAGCTGGATGATTACTCCATCGGCTGGGAGGAGGCCGGCTTTCGAGGCACCGGCGACTATCAGGAGTACGTGCGGACGTACCTGATGCGTCCCTTGAGCGGCCGTCGAGCAGAGGGGGCCAGGCCTGTAGCATCGGCGGCTGGGGCCGGAGCGGGAGCAGGGGCTGGATCTTCGAGGAGGGCCCAGGTCCGTGGTAGGGGCGGAGTGCGGGGAGGACGAGGAGCTGGCTGGCCTGCCCTGCCTGCTGTACTGACTTTCCAGGGGCAGGGTGGGTCGACCTATCAGATCCCCTTCGCCCCTCCACCGGCTGGGCATGAGTTCATTGACATCCCCGACCTTCCGCCGGTATGTATCACTGCACTTCGTACAGTTATTCAATTCAATTTACTTGATATCCCACAGAATATTGATGCGTCTGACACTTTTGCAGGCTTCTTCTGAGTACACCCGTCAGTCGTTGGCGATGAATGCCTCGATGATGGGGATGCTCCAGCGGACATTTGACCCCCTGGCCGTCTACAGCATACCGGTATGTCCTTCTGACACTGGCCTCAAACCATTCATCCACTGCTTTACATAATCTGATTCATGGCACAACACCTAATACACTGATCTCACAGTATCTGAACACTGCATACACTGCATTCTGCACCGTACCCTATACTGATAAACTGCTCACGGCATTCATACACTGTACTCACACACTGCATTCTTCACTGATAAACTGCTCACGGCATTCCTGCATTCTCATACTGTACTCATGCACTGCATTCTGCATTGATGAACTGTCTACAGTATACTGATGCATTTCCCTTTCGTGTACTTTTCAGCCTCCTTTCCAGATTCCCATGGCAGGAGGTGCTCCGGCCAGACCTTCAGTCCATGCTCGGGGGAGAGATGAGGAGGGCAGGATATTTCCCCGTACCAGGGGAGGGCGTACTCACGTCGGGAGCAGCTCGCGAGCTCCAGTCCCGGACGATGACGACGACGAGGAGTCAGAGGCGAAGGCAGAGTCATCGGAGGAGGAGACCGGAGACGGTTCTAGCTCGGGCTCTGATGACGACGCTGACGATGCTCCTGGACCCTCGTCCAGGAAGAGGACCAGGACGGACTGACAGCCCTTGGAGTCGCTGGACATAGATGCAGATTTTTGCTATCTTTTCTTTCTTTCCTTGTACTTTTCTTTTTGTTGGTAGATAGATTACCTTGTACTGCCGCAGGCAGATTTTGTTTCCTTCAAAACTTGTACATTTGAAAAGATAGTTAAATGAAACGGACTTTTTATTTGAAAAAGTGTTTACATTTGCACATTTCATGCATTGCATCGCATCTCATCATGTTACATCTCAATGTAAATGAAATTGATTGGTTGTCTGAAAATTGAACACTTGCACTGTAATAATCAGATAACTAAACAGCCAACAGTAAAATAACCCAAGCAACCCATTGCCTGATTCTTGGACACACAGCCCTTGCTCTACTGGGGATTAATCTTCACACAGCCCATAACACAGCGTTCGATTCATTCTGCACACGGCAAATTCTGAACAAACGGCCCAATCTGACAGGACGGACCTCAAAGATGGAACCGGTTGGAGTCAAAACACATTCAAATGTAGAGAATGGCACAGCATTCTGAGCATAAGCG